GATTTTTCAGAATCTTAGAATGCAGGATAAAGTTTTTTTCACCTCTGAACCTGTTGCACATCTTGTCGTCTCAACAATATCTTGGTTTCTTTGTGCGTTGAATACCAGGCAACAAGTTTCCGTTTTGGTATAAACCTCAATTCGCGGCCTAGTCACTCATTTAAGCGAGCAAATCGCTGGAACTGCGGAATTTGGCCAGTTCGTATAGCTTACGCATCTCGTCGCATTCACTTTGTCAAAGTCGCAGAAAGTTTTTTTTTCCAGTTTTGATTACTTGCACTGAGGTATGTGTATTATGCCTAGTTATTTATATGCTTCACTATTATGCATAATATAATTTAACAGAAAATTGTCTTAATGTCAACTCTTTAGTATTTCAGATGCATGAACGAGCCATACTTCAATCTGCTTGCGCTATTTCTATAATCTCACTAGTAGCTTTATATGGGTTTGTCCTGCAACCAGTCATTTGAATACTTTTCATTTCAAAAAAATGATATATTCCTCTCTCAGTTATATACCCCAAATGTGGAGCCGAATGTCTGAAATTCGTCAACTGCTCAACTCCGAACTTCAAACATTCTCCGAACTTGAAGCAAAAGTTTGGAAGGAACTTAGGGTAGAGGTTCCCCGTACAACGCGCCAGATTTATAACTACTGTGAATGTGAGCACAGTAATCGCTGCCCACCAGGACCACCAGGAAAACGAGGTAAGCTCAAACAGTTTATTGTTCTTCAACATTTCTTTAAAAGGAGCGCTTTGAGGTGCGGATGGCAAAGACGGTGCACCGGGTGTGGCTGGTCCAATAGGACCACGCGGTTATCCAGGGATACTCCCTGAAATGCTTTATCGTAGAGTGGATGGTTGTAGGATTTGCCCCTATGGGCCCAAAGGAGCCACAGGCAGTCCTGGAATAAACGGAGTGCAGGTCAGTTTTTACTCTTAGATTCTGATAACGCACGCAAAAGCTGCTAACTAACTCAGGGCTCCCCTGGCTATCCTGGTCAAGATGGAAGAAATGGTACGCCTGGAAGCAAGGGACCTGTCGGAGAACCCGGGACACCTGGACAAGCAGGAGAAAGTGGACAAATTGGTAAGCTATAATAGTTTTTTTTGCAATTTATA